GCAGCTAACCTTTACCTTTCAGGAAAAATACAATCAAATTCTCACAAAAGCAAGCTATGAATCTCGGATTCGACCGGACAATAGTTTAAATCCTCAGCAAGCCGTGAAACCCAGATTATGACCAGATAACAGCTCAGGAAGTTATTGTGAAGCCTGGATTACAACCAGACAACAATACAAGTTCCCGTGAAACCTGGATTACGACCAGATAGCGGTTAAAGACATTGTGAAGGCTGGATTTCGACCAGATAACAGTAAGGGATATTGTGCAGCTTGGATTACGACCAAATAGCAGTTCACCCGGCCAGATACTATGAAGCTCGGATTACGACCGGATGTTAGTTGGCCCAAAGCCAAAGGGAAGCCCGGATTACAACCGGATACCCATTTGATCTCTTCTGAAGACTGGATTACGACCAGATAAGAAGTAAAGTGTTATAAAGACTAGATTACGACCATATAAGAAGTAAAGTGTTCTGAAGACTGGATTACGACCAGATAAGAAGTAAAGTATTGTGAAGCCTGGATTACGACCAGACAGCAGTACAGAACACCAAGAAGCCCGGAGTCGACCGGATATTAGTGTGCCATAAATTCAAGTTAAAGCCCGGATGCAACCGGATAACATTTGAATTCCTTCCGAAACCCGGATTACGACAAGATAAGAATAAAGAAGTTATGAAACTTGGGTTACGACTGGATAACAAGTTTAATCTCATCTCCCCAAAAAGTCTGAAAAACCTGGATTGTGACCAGATAGCAATCGGTCTTATTACTATGAAGCCTGGACCACGACCAGATAACAGTTCATTTTCATCTCCTCGACTAAGAGACAGTTCCTCAGTAGAATAACGGATGACCGAAGTTGCTAAAATTCTATTTTTCCCAAGACAGAGATCAGCCTTCCCCAGCGGAATCTTCCTCAATGATAGGTATACAAGCTCTCGCTAAGGAATCTCTTATGTGATCGACACTCCTTCGGATGGCATCTTTAAGCCCATCCCCGACATCGCAAGACGGGTACTACTTCAAGCGAGTGCAAATTTCTGGGCACTCTAGTGTTCAATCATCTTCCACCTTCAGATCATGAAAGGCATGAAAGCCAATATACATCCTCGGGTTTAAGAAGATTGAACAGCGGCCGCTGTTGTACCCCAAAATTTACCCTCCCATATTTCTCAAAACATTTCAAGAAAGATCCTCAAGTTGCTCAAGGTAGTCCAAGGTTTGGCTAGACAAGCTCTCTCCTAAGGCAGTCTACCTCAAATTAGGGTTTCATGTTGCTTCAAGATACTTGAGTCTAAGGGACCCCAAATGCTCAACATTTTCCTAATATTTTCTCAAGATCATCCATGTCAAGTTTCAAGCCTTGCAGAGGAAGTTTGCTCAGTCAATTGCTCAAAGGCCTAAAAATCGACTGTGTTAGGGCAAAAGTCAATTGTGGCCCACATACAGTCAAACTTCAATATTTTTGGTCAACATCCTCATTTTGAAGTTTATTTCATCATTTTATCAAGGGTTGATCATTATTCATCAAGAATTTCTCATAATTCATCAAGACTCAAAGTTGCTAAATTAGGGTTTTGTAGGAAAAGTTAACTCAACTTTGACCAAGTATAACTTTCTCATACTTTATGAGAAATGACCCATCCAAAGCTCATTTTGAATAGGATGCAATCCCCTACAATCCATTTTCAGCTACCAAGTTCAAAATATGCACTCACAAGAAATTATGAATTTGGACATTATAGGTCATTTTGAAAAGTCAACAAAAACACCTTTTTTGTCAAAGCTTTATACTTGAGAATGGAATATCAAATTGACATTATAAAAAACGGGTTAATTAGAGGACATCTCAAGCTTTCTAAAAAGTCCAAGAACACCTCCAAAGAGTCAAAATTGAGGAAGTTACGCATTGGTGAAGTTGACCTTTTTTGCAAAATTGCCAAAAGTCAACTATGCCTAAAACTTCAATTTTTGCCAAATGGGCCCAATCTTTTTCACTTGTTTTGATTTGGCAACATAGTCCACGAGCTCTAGTCTTTTCCACTTGTCCATATCTTATTTTTATTATTTATTTTGATTTTTATTTGAATTAATTCAATTTAAATCAAAACAAATCATATAAAATCCAAAATATTGAAAACAAAAGATTTTACTCTTGTTTCAGGCTTTATTATACAGCTAGCAAACATTCAAATTCGTATCAAGGTATGGTGTGAACAAAAAGATTGAAATAGGCCAATTTTAGAAAGTTTTCAAAGTGAATCAAATCAAAGATCCAAATCATTGATGGAGGAAGATTGAGATAAGTTATCAACCCTAATCCATTCCTTGATACATATAGAAGTGAGGCATACCTAAAAGAGAGGTTAAAAACAGCCGCATGAACAAGAACAAAATCTGAAAAAAATCAAGAAAAAGTGGTGAATCGAATTTGCACTTAGAGGCTAATACAGGACTCTTTGCCTATCCCAATCGATTCCTGGGAGTCTCAGCAAGCTAAAGCAATCAAGAACCAAGCCTTTCCAGCCCCAAATCACACTGTAAGTCATCCACGGCCTAGCTCTCTTTTTGAAATCGAATAGCATTGTTCTTGCACTTATAGCATAAAATAATTATACATTCTTGATGACAATCACATTTGCAAACTTTCTGTATGGTTTAATTGCGTTTTCATGGCTTGTATGGAGTTTCACCATTGTTAGGGTTTACAAGCTCAATTTGGGATCTTGGCGTATAGGCAAAATTGGGCCATGAAAGGGCCACCACTGTGCTCAGCCAAACCAGACGAGTCCATTCATGGCCTTGGTGGTCATTTATATCACGTGCATATGATTTTGAGAATTGGCGGGGCTGTACCGACGGACGTTGTCCGTAGGTATAGGTTGTCAAAACTTTTAGCCACGGAGAGAGGACAGGGATGATGGCGTGGCTCCACCTGATTCGCCCGTTTGAATTTTCGCGCAAAATTTCTATTAATTCTTTGTTTTCATATATTATTATTATTATGTATTGTACGTACAAGCAGAAGCGAATGGTGCAGTGGTGAGCATAGCATTGCCAATTGTTCCAGGACCTGGGTTCGAATCCCAGGTCCCCCTATTTCTCCATATTATTTTCCTTTTCAGGATCCAGCGTGCTTACCAACCAGGAGTCCACCATATGTCCTCATCATCATCATGCCAAGTGTCAGATGGCCAAATCTGATGTCCATCCAGGAGGGAACACCATGAGCCAAGTCAAATGCATCACACTGGATCTCTAAGGTCAACGTGGACTTCATTCAAATGGGCCCAGATTTGGCTGTTTGCACCCCCCAAAAAAATGCTTTTCAGGCCCATTTCTTACTCTTTTTCTTTTTTACATTTTATTTAATTATTCCATTTAATTATTTTATTTATTTTTACTAACAAATTAAATTATTTTCTTTTTTATCAAAAAATCACCAAAAATATTATTTTTCATCCAATTAAATTTAGGATATTTATCTTTATTAAAAAATAAATTTATTTAATTAGCTTATTAATTTTAGACAACTTTAATTATTTTGTACATAATTAAAAATGATTAGAATAATTAGATTTTTATTCCACATTTAATTTTTCTTTCTTTTCTTAAAAATAATCAAAAACATAAAAATAGGTCAGGTAATTATTTTTATTAATTAATTTAATTAACTAATTAATTGCATATTTAATTTAGAAAACTTATTTCTTTTATTAAAAACAACAAAAAAACAAATTTTTCTTTTAATTAGGTTAGGAGGGTCAAAACCCTAGTTTCTCGTCGATCTAATTTTCATCGCGCGCTTTATTATTATTTTTAACCGATTATTGTATCTGCTCACAGTTTGTAATAGTTTTAATTAGGACTTTTACTTTTCATTATCGCTTTATTTTTAAAGGGTTTGTTTTTGGCTATGTAAATACCCGAAGCCTTGTAATAGTGTAGTTTAATTTTTGCACTTTAAAATTCCGCAAACTATTAACTGTTAGATGTATGATAATAGGATGCATGACAAGAATGTATGACTAAATTTAAAACAGTTAGATCACCCTAAATGTGCAAAGATAAAATAATCTGAAATTGAATCACTCGCACATGCGCACTCCTAGGGTACACTCCCACTTGGTTTCCTTCGGTAAACGGTCATTGAGTATAGGATGCTTTAGTGGTCGTCCTTGTGTCTAAATAAAGATCAAAGTCCCGAATCAGAAAAGTTGCTTCGGAATGGTTGCCCCGGAATTGTTGCCTCGAATAATTGATCTAAGATATTAGGGTTTTTACTAAGACGTCCTAACATTGCTTTAGTGACCGTACGTCCCTTTTCGAATTAACCCTCAAAACTCCAACGACGGTGCTACCTACTCACTAATAGTGGGATAGCATTGTCTAAAGGAAATGAACATAGAACGATTCTTTTTTCGAGTAGGTAGATTAGCTCTTAAGTACTTGCTCATTCCAAACAAATTTTTCACACTTACACTCCTTTACAAACAAAGTTTTCAAAAACACTTCATTACACTCTTGAAGACAGAAGCAAGAGTTAAATCGAAGTCAAACAAAAACTTTTCAAAGCACACAAACACAAAGAAAACAATTTTGAAAATGATGAGCAAGTACCTAAGAGCCCGTAGATAACTACGGATAGAAAGGGTGCTAATACCTTCCCTTTCTATAATCTACCTCCCGTACTCAGAAATATCTCGAAATAGGAATTTTTCTGTGCTTTTTTCCTTTCCTTGTTGGATAAAATAAAATTCGGTGGAGACTCTTGCTTACTGCGACATTTTGTGAACACAAACGCAAAACACAAACCAGCAAATTCCTTAAAAAAATAGGGAAATACGATCCCGGTTCTGGCCACCGTATCACAACATCCATATCAAAATTCAGTCCATATCCTGATACAATCTATGTTAACATATATATTTCCAAGAAGAAAACAAGGCAGGTTCACTCATATGCAAGAAAATACTCAGATTGCGCCAACAGTTTCATGACATGCTCAACAGCTTAAAACTGCTCATAACCATGGATTCCCTATAACCAATGTCACAAGCCATGAGTTTTCCACCATTATCGTTAAAGTTGCAGCCCCTGCAAAATAATCCCAAAATAGTTCAACATGAAAAAACTCGCAGAAAAAACTCTACATCACATGTTAATAGCCAGCCTTGCATCAAATAGAAATAAATGAATACACCTAAGCTTGCAGCAGACGTAATGTCGACTCATATTAGGGACATCATAAACTCTGAACATATTAATCTACAAAAATATATATCATACTCAGACCCGCAACAATAAACTTGCAACATTCTAACCATGAACTAAACCAATCCAATACCATTCTAATTCAGATAAAGCATCCAAGTGCTTTTATATCAAGTTCAGGTAATTTGACATGTTACATCATTCATCACCGAAGCTGCATCCATTTTAATAAACTAATTATCTCAACTTCAATTAACTTCCTTTAGCATTAACAAATCTCAACTAGCAGTTTTTAGACTAACTCAATTTCAGCTTTAACTAAACCTTTTACTAGCAGATTCTTAACCAACTATTCTAACAGATTTTCCAATCAATAACTAACAGACCAACTCTCTAACAGATTGTAGCTGAATCTGCCACCTCACCATAATCGATTTTCAATTACCCTATAACTAACTTCACTCTTCATTTTTTTCACCCTTAACCATCCCTCGTCAACATTTTTCAATTTCATTATCAATCTTCATCCATCAACCTCAATCCTCTACATCCTCTCTCCACACTCTCTTCATCTTCATCTTTACCACCTCAGCTCCACAAACCACCACCAATCACAGAAACTTCAAAAATTCACCTCTCAATTCTATGATTTTATTTCTCAGAGTCTCTCTCTCCATCAACAACCTCTCTCTCTCTCTCTCTCTCTGCTCCATCGCTTCATCAACCTCGCGCACCAGCCTTCACCTTCAAATTCTCTACAACTCATGTTCAATCTCTTCACTCTCCTAATTCCGCGCTTAACATACACAACAACTGTAACAGAGAAAATGCGCTAAAACAAGAAGAAGAAGATGAAACAGAAAAAGATAAAGGAATATTGAAAGCTTGAGATAAAGAAAAGATTGCGTACTTGAGAATCACTATCTTCTTCAATGTCCACCGGAATAGTTAAGGTCGTCAACCTCATGCTTTATGTATATGTAGATGTAGGCCTAACCATGGAAAAATCAAATAAAATGGATGCTGGATCCGTGTTACAAGCATCGATACGGAGGGGCGATGCAAGTTTTATGTATATCTGGTTGAGGAGCCATCGCAGCCGATGCGATGGTACGTTCGTTCATTTTCAAAGATATGACTAGAGGGAAAGAGACCTAGGTTGAAGTGATACGTACAGTCACAAATAAACAAAACGCAATGTTTCGGTCCTTGGCTTTTTAATTCAATTCTTCACCTTGTTCATCTTCTAATTTTCATTTTGTTTCTTAATTTAGTGCAATTAATTTTGGTGTTTTATTTCGTGATTTTTTGTTAAATTTTTGTATTAACATTAATATGTTAGTCTCTGATTTAGTGATATTTTTCTCATAATTTTTCTATTAGTTACGAATTTAATTGAACTAATGTTTGGTATATATTTGAAATTAGGATTTTAACGCGTTCTTGTCGATTCCTTATCATTGATTCAATTTCTTCGGCATGATGAATGATTAATAATCAGGTTCTGATCCTTGAGTAAATGTTTGAGTATATGCTTTTCGTTATGTTAATAAAAAGTCTCATAAACTTGATAAAAATAGGCTTTATGTTTCATCGAATGTTCATGTGGTTTGTGAACTTTGTGATAGAATGATGAGGCAAATTTTGTGATATGAAATTCTTGAGGATTATTTTGTTTGATCACTTGCGTGAAGCCTTTGGTAGAGTTATCTCAACACTTACGTGGCTTTGAAGAAGCAACATACCTTCTTCGTTAGGTACCACTTTAGTTTATCTCTCTTTCATGCATCTGCATCTGAAGTCCTACAATGTAGGCATTTGTTTTATTTATCCTTGATCGATGAATCACTCGATTATAATTGAGATCAAGAATTCTCTCTCAGTGCATGCTCCCTATAGGTTTTTATTGATTTCCTTTATTTATTGTTGAACGATGAGTCACTCGATTATAATTGAGATCACGAATTCTCTCTCAATGCATGCTCCCTATAGGATTTTATTTCTTTCCTTTATTTATTTCCGATCTATGAGTAACTCAATTAGAATTGAGATCACGACTTCGCTCTCAGTACATATTCCCTATAGGATTTTTATCCTCGCCCTTAGGTCTATTTTTTTATGCTAACACTAGGTAGAATCTCCCTTTGTTAATCCAAACTTTAGGACCACCATTGCATGACAACATTAGGAATAGAATTCTCCTTAGATTTTTCATTCCCCTTTTATATCCATCGAAACTAAAAAAATTTCCTCAAAAATTCAAAAAAACTTAATCATACTCAAACACTTTCAACAATAACAAAAACACAAACAAATCAAACGTGGCACTTTGCCTTGAGGGCGTAACTCAAAAAATTGTTTCAAAAGGGTACTGTTGTACCCCAAAATTTACCCTCCCATATTTCTTAACACATGGAAAGAGAAGTCCCCAAAGTGCTCAAGGAAGGTCAAGAGTTGACCAGACAAACTCTCTCCTAAGGCAGCCTACCTCAAATTAGGGTTTCATTTTTCATCAGGATATATGAACCACAAAAGGACTCAAATGCTCACCATTGTCCTAATATGTTCTCAAGATCATCCATGTCAAGTTTCAAGCCTTTCAAAGGAAGTTTGCTCAATCAATTGCTCAAATGCTTGAAAATCAACTGTGCTAGGTCACAAGTCAACTGTGGCCCACATATAGTCAAACTTCAAGATTTTTGGTCAACATCCTCATTTTGAAGTATTATACATCATTTGATCAAGGATTGATCATGATTCCCCAAGGATTGCTCACAATTCATCAAAACCCAAAAGTTGCTAAATTAGGGTTTTATAGGAAAAGTCAACTCAACTTTGACCAAGCATAACTTTCTCATACTTTATCAGAAATAACCCAATCAAAGCTCATTTTGAGGAGGATGCAATTCCCAACAATTCATCTTCAGCACTCAAGTTTAGAATATGCACTCACAAAAAGATATGAATTTTGACATTATAGGTCATTTTGGAAAGTCAACAAAAACACCTTTTGGGTCAAAGCTTCACACATGAACATGGAAGACTCAATTGAGATGCGAACAAAAGGGTTGATTAGGGGACATCCCAAGCATTCTAAAAAGTACAAGAAAACCTCTCTAGGGTCAAAATTGAGAGAGTTATGCATTGGCCAAGTTGACCATTTTTGTAAAATTGCCAAAAGACAAATGTGCTCAAATTTTCATTTTTTTTTGTCAAATGGGCTTAGTTTTTCATGATTGAATCTTGCTTATGACATGGTCCACGATCCAAATCATCACCCACACACCTTGTGCTTTATTTATTTATTTTGATTTTGATTTTTATCATTTAAAAGTCAAATTACATCAAATAAATAGCAAAAAATATCAAAGATTTGTTTTGTGATCAGATTTGGGTTTGAATCAAATCCAATTATGCTGGCAAATCATATCCAAAACGTGCAAAACAAATTGAACCAAAATTGGCATGATTTGGCTTGATATAGAAAGATATCATACAAAGATAAAGAACAAATCAAATCTTCATAATGGACAAAGATTTAGCTCATTTTTGTTGACCTAATACACTCTATGATATATATTGAACGCAGCCAAAGCAAGGAAGAGGTTGAACTGTGGTGCATAGCCAAGAACAAAACTTCAAAATCTCAAAGAAAAGTGGTGATTCAATTTCCATCCTAGAGGCCAATCCAAGCCGTTCTAACATTACCAACAGATTACTGGACATCCCAGGAACGTATCCCAATAAATTGCAAGCCTCCCCAGGTACAGCATTCGCGCATAGCAGTCACATGGTTTGCCTAAAAACTCATTTTCAATTTCATGGATTTATTCATCATTAGCACGGTTGATTCATATATTCTTTTTTATCATTTAGTTTGCAAGCTATTGGTATTGTTTAATTGCGTTTTTAGTACAGGAATCAAGATATGCCATAGTTAGGGTTTCGTGGTATTGTTTTCGGTTTTCCAATGCAGGAAAAATTGGGCGTTGATTTTTGTACCATGATGCTCGTGAGGATGAGACGAGTTGATTGGTACCAGCCATGGTCATTTATATTAAGAATATGCAATTTTTGAGATGCACAGGTCTGTACCTACATCAAGGTGTCTGTAGGTAAAAGTATCTTAGGCTAAAACGACGGTTTGGGGAAGAAGACAATGCGTGGCGCTCACTGGTTGGGTGGTTTGAATTTTAGCGCGTTTTTTGAATACGTTATTGGTTTTTGATTATATTATTTTACTTCCATTATGTGTACAACAAAAACACGTGGCTCAGTTGGCAGGCATGCATTGAAGTTGGATATAAGGGCCTGGGTTCGATCCCCAGGTCCCAACCTTTGTTTCATATAATTTTGCTTCACATAATCAGGTACACCACATGTCCAAACATCCACCATGAAACTCAAGATCTGGCCATCAAATTCATCAGCACTCCAGATCCAATGCCTTTCCATTGAAGGTCCATCATGCACCTCAAGTCAATATGTGCATCAGATCCAGCGAAGTCAAACGGGCTTGGATTATTTGGGCTCATAATTTCAACAACATACCCCCATAATTGCTAGCACAGGCCCTTCATTCTTTTCTTATTTCTTTTATTTTATTTAATTCTTTTAATATTTCTTTTATTTATTCTTAATTCATAAATTAATCTATTTTTTCATAAAATCATAAAATCAATAATTCATAAAAAATTAGAATTAGTTTTTTTTTACTATTATCAAATTTAATTTAATTTAGTTTAACTCAGGGAAACCTTAATTTATTTTCACAATTTAAATTAAATTAGAAAATTAGGTTAACTCTTGATTTATTTTTTCTCTTTTTCCCAAATACATAAAATACAAAAATAGGTTTTTTTAGATTGAATTAATTTATTTTTTTTCTTAATTAAAATTAATTAGTAGTTAGGTCTTCTTTTTATTTAACTATTTCATTATTTTCTTAAAAAACATGACAAAAACCATTTTTTTAATCAATCTCAATTAGGATTTGTCAAGGGCCAAAACCCTAGTCGTTTTGTATTTGATTCATCGCGCACTTATTATTTATTTTTACAATATTTTTGTAACTGTCCATGGTTTGTAATAGTTTAATTTAGGGCTTTTACTTATCGCTTTTCCCCGGGTTTTTTTGGCTATGTAATTAATCCCCCTCCCCGAAGCCTTGTAATAGCGTAGATTTACTTTCTCGCATTTTTAATCCCTTCTAATATTTAAACTGTCTAGATGTATGCTAATAGGATTGTATGGCAAGAATGCATGACAAATTAACACGGTTAGAAAACCCTAATGTGCAAAGATAAATAATTGAAACAAATCACTCGCACATATCACTCTTAGGGTATAATCTCACTTCGGTTGCCGTTGGTAAACGATCATTAAGTATAGGGTGTCTTAGTGGTTGCTCTCCTGTCTAAAAAGATCAAATGTCCCATTCGAATGTTACCTCAGAAATGTTGCCTCGGAAATGTTGCCTCAAATATGGTCTTGAGACTCTAGGGTTATTACTAAGATGTCCTAAACATTTCTTTAGTGATCGTACGTCCCTTTCGAAATGACCCTTACAACTCCAATGACAGTGCTACCTATTTCTTAATAGTGGGATAGTGCTGTCTAAAGGAAACAAGAATAGAAACTATCTTTTTTTGAGTAGGTAGATGCTAGTAGGTACTTGCTTAAATCAAAGCTTTTTCACACTTACACATTTCAAAACAATTTTAAAAGCAACTTCGTTACATCTTTGAGGACTGATACAAGGGTTATCACGAAGTCAAACTTTTTCAAAAACAAAGCACATACACAAGCAATTTTAAAAAGATGAGCAAGTACCTAAGAGCCCATGGAAAACCATGGATAGAAAGGGTGCTAACACCTTCCCTTTCTATAATCTACCCCCCGCACTCAGAATATCTCGAAAAAGCATTTTTCCTGTACTTTTTTCCTTTCCGGTTGGATGAGATAAAA